ACTACCACCACGACGACGACAACGACGACGACGACGAGTCGTGACAATCCATGCAATATTGCTCGGGGCCAGGGTAAGGGCCAGCACGACAGTGGGTGGCTGTGCTTGCAAAAGAGTGAATGTACACAGACCATCATCACGTACCATCATCTTCGTCATCATCATCGTCATCATTATCATCATCATCATCATCATCGTCAACCTCATCATCAGCGATCATCATCATCACCATCATCATCGTCATCATCATCATCATCATCATCACCATGACCATCCTCATCCTCATCCTTGTGATCCCCATCTCCTCCACCTCCTCCTCCCTCCTCCTCCTCCTCTTCCTCCTCCTTCTCATTTCCATCATCACCATCATCATCATCATCATCCGCAGCAATACGTCAGCAGCATTGCATAGTCATCATCGTCAACACCATTGACCGCCGTCACCACCATCAGGGCCTTCACCATCGCCCTCACCCTCCCTGTCGTCATTGGCATCACCTTCATGACAATCACCACCGCCACAACCATCATTACTGTGGTTTTCATCATGGTCATGAGCGTGAAACAGTATCAATATCTTCAGTAACCGAGAGCAGTAGTGGCACCCGTAGTCGTCGTCGTTGTAGTTGTCGTCGCAGCAGCGTCATAGCAGTCGCAGTAGTATTGGTGGTGTTGTTGTTGTTGTTGGTGGTGGTGGTGGTGGAGCGTTTTTTGTTTCAACGGGCATGAATCTTGACTCGACCAAACCCGGTGTTCCTAGACTTGCCGTCTTAAAGCAGGAGCAGAGTGTTCAGGGACCTGACATCAAAATCAGCGGGCATTCGAACGACATTCAATGATTCTCTGATGTCTCAACCCTAAACCCTAAATGACCCTAAACCTTAAGACCGCTCCAGCGTGCTGTCATCGAGGCGATGGGGTGATGCCCTGTCTGGCTCTTTTGGCCTCTGCATGTTGGAGGCGCGAGTCGCCTTGATCACTGGCTCCCATGTTCAATTTGGGTAAGTCCTCTCATTTAGGGTGCCTTATTAGGGATCCATGTCGTTTTCTTTTAAGGGTACTAGAAAGGTTCTATATATTATGTGTCAGCATCGAAGAATGTGTGGTAGATATTTGCTCGAAGCCCAGACTCATAGCAAGCTTGGAAGTAAGCCCTACACCCCATAGCCCTAAGCTGTACATCTCAAGCCTTGGTTGTTTTCTTGTTCGCCCTTGCGAGTTTGCACCTGGCGGGGAGTGGCAATACCGAGATGCAAAAAAGAGCTGCGGAATGAGCACTCAAAGCAAGAAGGGAACCCTTATCCTAAACCCTAAACCCTAAACCCTAAACCCTAAACTCGCTTATAGGAACCCTTCAAGGCAAACCTTAAAGGGAACCCTGATCCTAAAGGGAGTGGGAGATGGAGCTGTGCAAGCTAGCGTGCGAAGCTCGTACAATCACTTGGAGGTTCATGGGTAGTTATAAGTGGAGTTATAAGCAGGGTAGCTATAGTTATAACCCTAATTAGGGGACTTATAACCCCACTTATAACTACGCATGAACCTCCACGTAGAATCATGCGTCCCGAAGAGTTTCGGCTTGACACGTAGGGTTTAGGGTTTAGGGTTTACCAATCGTCTCCATTGTTGTCCCTCGTAGTTCCTTGTTTTGGGTTAACAACGACATATCTAATGTAGGATCTTACAAAGTAACCCAAACAGGAATTACAATGGAGGTTGTAGGTAGGCTTCAGGGTCTTCGGGTCAGTTTGTCAGGTGATGATGCTGGACATTCCGACCACCCAGCGCTTCATCAACGATTGCGTCTCTTTCCATTTTGACATTGTGCAAAGCCCGGGGGCCCAGAGCGGGTGTGTGTGTGTGTGTCTACCTTGCAAAACGGGCTTGGGGTATAGGGTTTAGGGGTCTAGGGCCTAGGGGTTTAGGGTTTAGGGTTTGGGGTTTAGGGTTTGGGGTCTGAGGTTTGAGGGTGTAGGTCTGCGATTAGTCTGCCCTTGTGCCGTTTGTAACAATACAACACTCCCACGTTCTCATTCGAACCCAGACAGCAAGGCCTGTGCCCCTTAAGTGCCGCGGGCTTAAGGTTCACCCTGAGGGTACATGTGCCCAACTAGTATATACTTTGGTCTAAAAATCGTCCCTATGCACGTACTTTGGTACCAAAATATACTACATGGGCACATAAACCTTTAGGGTCAGCACTGCGCGGATCCCTAGGCTTTTCAGTCTATAGACTCATAGACGCACACGTTGAGACTGCCATCGGTTGGGCTGTGTTATGTCATGTTGGGTTGAGAGTCCAGAGTTTTCGGACTCTGCCGAAGGGATTCTCCAGCATGTAGGTCGGCTGCTCAGCAGCAGAATCCTTCACACGACAGTCTTTGTCCAAGCGAATTTCCGTGCTCTTAAAATTTGTCCGACTGCGCGCACTCACATCCTGATTATTTGGAAAGGTGAAGAGCTTTACGAGGTGCATCAATCTTGGCAACACATTAACAAGAGTGCACCCAAGGAGAAGTTCGAGAAGTGCAGAATTGACACCCGTAGGATCCTGGAGCCACTCAATCGTGAGTATGCTTCAGTGAGCTTATGCGGTCCGATGTCGCCGCGTTTTGCTACGATTCCTGAGAAACCTGAACATCTGTATGCTCATATTTCGACCGGGCTCCGCGCGATTTGGAAAGGAATGCGAACATAGGTAGTGTCCGCAGCTCGTACACTGTAGTCGCAGTTGCGGTTCCATTGATGTTATAAACCCTAAGCCCAAAATCGCCCTATTCGTTCGGGCTCCTGCACCAGTTTCCGAGGCCTTCCTGCATAGTGTTCAGTTGCCGTGTTTGTGGGGACCGCCATGCTCTTGACCCCCGATCCCAGCCCAAGCACTCCAAGGTCGCTGGAAAGTTTGGGAATGATCCAAGAGAGCCCTTAGCTCAAGAACCCTCCCTGAACCTAAACCCTAAACCCTAAACCCTAAACCCTAAACCCAAAACCCTAAACCCTAAACCCTAAACCCTAAACCCTAAACCGTCTCAGGTATGTCTCGGCAGTACATGACGTCCCCGGGTGCCTTCGCCATGGGCCGGTGCCCAAGAGCCTTGCACCAGGCTGAGATCTAGGATTCCCTAAACCCTTATAACCCTAAACCAAAACCCCTAAACCAAAAAAACCCTAAAC